TTGCATTTTCATAATCATGTTCTATGAGCTAGTTTGTGGTCTACTTTGGAGAGCATCCTATGTGCTTCTGAGAAGAATGTGTATTCTGAGGTTGTGGGTTTGAACACTCTGTAGATATCTACTAAGTCCATTCATTGAAATGTTTGTTTCAGTTCTGATATTTGTTTCTTGGTTTTTTTTGTCTAGTTGATCTGTTTATTTGTGACAGTGGGGTATTGAGGTTCCCCAATGGAATTGTATAAGTGCTTATCTGATTTTTCATATTCATTAGTTTTTTAAGTATATTTGAGAGTGCCTGTATTTGATGCATATATATTTATGGTTGTTATCTCATCCTCTTGGGTTGTTCCCTTAAGAAGCATGTAATTACCTCCTTTGTCTCTCTTGATCAGTCTTGGCTTAAAATGCACTTTGTCTGCAAATAGAATAGCTACCTTTGTTTTTTTTCTGGATTCCTATCACATGAATTATTGTTTTCTACACTTTGACTTTCAGTCTATGCATTTCTTTCTCAGTTAAATGTGTTTCTTTTAGGTAGAATATTGTTGGATCTTGTTTCTTTATTGATTCTGTCCATCTGTTTCTTTTGATTGGTGAATTGAGAGTGTGTTGATGGTTAAAACTGATACATATTGACTTATCTTTGTCATATAATTTTCCTATTGTTGGTTGCCCTTCTTTCCTCTCTAATTGCTTGCCTAGCCTGGTGGATTCATTCTACTGGGATTCACGGAATTGTTGTTTTCATTGTCTTTTTCTAGAATATCCTTCAGAAACTTTTCGGAGTGCTATTGGTCATCATGAATGTCATTATCCCAGCATTTCTGTTCAATCTGTTTATCTCTTTGTTACTGAGGTTTGTCTTTTTCAGGCAACATATTGTTGGTTCTTATTGTTCTTTTATCCAATCTGCCAGATTGTATTTGCACTGTAGAGTTAAGTTCATTTGCCTTGAGTGTTATTATTGACATATACATATTAATTCTTGTTGTATTGTTTTTCTAGCACTTGATTCCCTTCCCTTTTCTGTTTTTTAAAAATTACACTCCAAGTGAGATTTACAGTATTCTTTCCTTTGGTGAATGTTGTCATCTCTGTTTAGGATTCCCAAACTATTTTCTGTAATTTTCATGTAGTGGTGAATTTCTTTTGTTCATATTTATTGTGGGAGGTCTTTATTTCTTCTTAAAATTTGAGAGTTATCTTTGCAGGTATAGCAGTCTTGATTGGCAATTATTTTCTTTTAGGGTTCAAAAATCCTTACATCATGCTTTTGTGATCTTAAAGGTCTGTGTTGAGAACTCTGCTTCTGATGGGCTTGCCCTTGGAACTTATTTATTACTTCTCCATAACAGCTTTTGGTAGCCTGTAGTTTTTCTGCATCCCTGGAATTTGGACCACTATGTTTCCTGGAGAGTTTCTTTTCTGGTTATGTCTAGTTGGGGTTCAAAATGAATCATTTAGTTGGGTATTCATTTTATTCCTCAGATTTGAGAAATTTTTGCAAAAATGTCAGTCAATAAATGTTTTATAGCACTAGACCACCTATTCCCTTTCTTTAAGTCTGATTATCCTTGCTTTTGTTGTTTAAGAGTTGTCTAGGAGCTCTTGAATCATATTTCTGCCTCATCTTGCTTTTTATTTTCATTTTTTGGTACTGGGGATCGAACTTGTTTGTGGAGTAGGTTGTGGAACCACTGAGCAAAATCCCCAGCCCTATTTTCATAATTTTGGACTAAATGTACTATTACATCTACCTTATCTCACATTTTGATATTCTATTTTCTGGCTGGTTTTTACTTGAGTTTTTAAGTTTCAATATTTTGGCATGATTTCACTTCATAACATCTGAAGTGATTTTTTCAGGTCCAACATTATCTTCTTTAATTAATTAAGCTCCTTATTAGCTTCTTTTTTTTTGGGTACCGGGGATCGAACTCGGGTCCTACTGCATCTGAGGCAGGTGGTGGAACCACTGAGCTAAATCCCCGGCCCCTGCTTATTAGCTTCTTTAAACTCACTGAACATCTTAGTAATTAATTAATTCAGCCACATAATTTTCTCTTTTTAACTATTCATTTTGTGGATTTTTTTTTTCCTGGAGTTTTACGCACTTCTGTATCTGTGAGATCAGCTTTTGGGGAGTTATGAAATTTTGGGCCATCTTTTGTCCTTGTTTTCTCATAATTCTTGTATTTTTGTGCTGAAGGTTGTAGATCAGTTGATATAGAAAGCTCTGACACTATTGTGGAGATCACTTTAGTCAGTGTATATCTCCCTGTTTTGCTCTTGGCTTTGGGTATGATTCAGTGTGCAGGCACCCACATAATCTGTTCAAAGTACTCTGTTAAAACCATAGCACTCATTGCATTGTAAAGAGATAACAACTAGCAGTTATATCAACATCCAAAGAACCAACCATATATCAACCTATAATTTAAAAATTTTTAAAATGCTCTCAGTTCTCCCAAATACCTAGGGAAACAAAAGAATAGTAATGATGAGAACTATTGTGGGAATTAGGAGAAGAAAATAGATCATAACCCAATCTGACCCTGTCTAAATCTGGAGGGACACAATGAGAGCCTGCATTCAATTAGCTGTATCCTGTTTGCATAGGCCATATGTCCATCCTGAAGAAGAGCCAGGTCTAATAGGAAAATGTGGTGTCATTCCTTCTTCCATTTTATGAAAGAGGACTATCTCCCACCCCCACTCCATATGGCTGCATGTTCAATGCCAGAATGCTTTGCTTCAGTTTATTAAAGTATACCTCTAATTATAAGTGTTTCTGGGTTTTACCTGAATGATAGCTCTCAGAAGATGAAGTTTCATGACTCTTGCACCTCTCTCCTCACAGATTTGTATATATGTTGCTTTTCAGTGAATATCCCAGAGTAGATCATGTGTACATGCTACCTCTGGTCTGCCATATTCCTTTCCTCTGTGTTTTATTTTCTTGATGGACATATTTGTACATATTTCTGAAGTACAGTGTGATGTTTTAATACACATTGTATAATGTTTAATTCTGGTTAGTTAGCTGTCTTGGTTACTTGTCTCATTGAAGAGACAAAATACCCAACACTCAAAGTTAGAGGGAAGGCTTATTGTAACTCAGTTTGTAGATGTGTCAGTCCAAAATCAGCTGGCCCCAAGGCAGCAGGGCATGGCAGAGGGGCAGTGCAGAGGAGAAACTGTTCATAGCAGCAGAAGGCAGCAAAGCAGTAATGTGGTGGAGCAGCAAGTGAAAAATAGCGGCCCTCTTTCTGTACCTTATATCCTATCCAGGCTGCCCACTCTAATGTGCTCATTACTCACATTCAGTGTCTGGCAGCCTTAATCCTAGCATCTCATCATCAATTGATCCCAGTATCACATCCTTGATCCCAGTATCACACACTTTATGTCATGCCATGTCCAAAAAGCCCCACCTGTGACTGCGTGAGGCTTTGGGGAGACATCTAGATACACATCATAATATTTGCATATCTGAAACTTTAAACTTGTTTCACTTCTTTATGGTAAGTCCAAACGCCTAACTCTTTTGAGACATATCATGCATTATTCTTACAAAAGATTGGGAGGATAGGAGAAAGGGGAGATGAGAAGAAATCAGTCGGGTAAATTTGTGTTTTTTTACGTGATTTCATTTGTAGTAATTTTTTTTATTGCAGCCAAAGAGAACTAGTAGAGAAGTCAAAACAATTTCTTAAATTATACTGTTTCCTTTGCTCTATTTTTTTCTTTGCAAAGTTTTTTAGACATATGTCTTACCAACTCATTACTTTCATGTTTCTGACTGTTTCCCTATAAGTGTCTTATTATGCTCCATGTCTGTGCTGATTCCAGAACATTCTTTCTTTACCTACCTTAATCTGACCTATTCTTGAAGGATTAGCTGAACAATGAGGTTACAGCAATTAGCTTGCACCACTATTATGTCACATTTCATTTCACCTGATATTATCATTAATTTTTTCCCACATTTGTCTCCCTGAATCCCACATCTTTGTATTTTCTTGGAAGCTTTTTGATAACAGGGAATGTTACTAATTTTTCCCTTTCTTTCTCAGTAAGAAATTTTATTGGGGGGAGAAATGCATCCCTCTGGAATTTAAGTGATTTGATGTCCCTATTTCTCTCTTCACTGTGTATCAATTTTAGTTTAAAATCTTTCTAATTTTGACAAACCTAACCATAAAACTTTATTATTTTATTTATTTTTATTTTTTAATTGTTTTCCACATTTGAGAGTTTATTGTTTGTGTTGAGGATCAGTACAGACACCTCATTTTGTACACAATTTGTGTTAAAAATTATGTATTGTTTCTTTTTCGGTTATTCCAGTGACTTTCCAGCCTCAAATTTGGAGGCAAATTTTCCATCAGAGGATTAAGTACCAGTATCTTCAAATGCTGATGAAGTGTTACTTAAGTCTCACCAATTGACAATTTCTTATCATATACACTACATACTCAAATTTTCAATCTTTCACAGCACATTAGCAAAATTAGTCAAACTGGACTAGCATGACCAAAAAAGATGTTACAGAGCACTCACAATTCTGACAGGGAAACAATGAGGATGTAGTTTTCTTTAGGAAACAATTCTACTAAAAACATGGGAATAGAAGTCATTTAAAATATCCAAGACATATTAAATGCATGACTGTGACTCCAAATTACCATTTAGTATGCTTTGTATTGCAGGATATAAAACTAACCCCCACCTATGGACTGTTAAGCTGACACCCAGGACAGTCAAAGCCTGCCATAATTCAATATCGCACTATTTTCTGGTTGTACCACAAAATAACCAGCAAATGATTTCACCTCTAAAAAAATCATTTATACTTAAAAATGCGATGAGGTGGGATTCCTTCCTTTTTAAAAATGTTTCTAGAGCTACTAAAAAACTTGCATTTACAAAGTAGTTGATAAAAATATTCCTCTGGATTGTACAAGAAGGGAGACAGGGAGCACTGATAAGACGTGATGTGTGCTTAGTCAGACTTGGCTTCTTTCTCTTCCGTTTCATCAGAGGCTGCACTCTCCTCGTTTTTAGTTTCTCCGTTTTCTGTGGGTAAATCTTCCTTAGGTTCTTGATTAGCCACTTCAGCCTGTTTTCCTTTTGGTCCCCTTTTCCCTTTTGCTTGCACTTTTTTGTCAGAAGATTTATCCTTTCCCGCTGTCTTTTTTGGCTTCGTTTCCACTTTTGCAGTAGCAGGTTTAGCCGACAACCTCGCGGATCTCCGCTTGGGCTCCTCCTTTGCCGCCCCTTTGGTGGAGTTGACCTTCCTCTTGGGCATCTTGGTGGCACGGGGTGTGCGTGCGGAAGCTGCGGGCCGCAGCGCACGGGAGCCTTGCGCCGCCAGAGTTGCTGGGACCTGCGGCGGGGGCGGTGGGAAAACCGGATCAAGACTTGTTATTTTAAAAAACTTATCCCTCAATCTTTTTGTTGTGTCATACCAACCATTGTTGGGAGGTTACAAATGGAAGAATATTTTACTTGCTTGAACATACATAAGCACTTCAAGAGAAGGTTTTCTTATTAAGCCTTTTTTCCTCCTGGGCTGAAAATATGATGCAGTTGGAATTGGATGGTAATGTGATATTGTGCATTGTATCAGTAATCTCACACCTAAAAATATCTAGAAAAACCAGTTTTTTAATGCTAAAATCCCTTAACAAATTAAGTATAGAAGGATCATACCTCCATTTAAGAAAGGTTATATGTGACAGGTGCACAGCCAACATCATATGGAATGGAAGAAAGCTGAAACCATTTTCTGTAAGATCTGGCACAAGGCAAAGATTTCTACCCTCATAGCTCTTATTCAGTACAATACTAGAGGTTTTAGCTAGAGCAGTTACATGAGATAAAGAAAGAAAAGGCCTTCAAATAGGGAGAGAATCAAGTTATGGCTGCTTTCAAATATCTAATTGTATCTATATAATTTAAATAATTCAATCAAAAGACTATTAGATCTGATGAATGAGTTAAAGAATAATAAATCAACACATAAAAAGAAATAGTGTTTGTACATACCAGTAATGGGATTGCTGAGAAGAAATGGAGTGCAAGGTTATCTACAATTACTACAAAAAATTCCTACCTACAAATAAACCTAACCAAGGGAGTGAAAAACCTCTACAATTAATATCACAAAACACTAAAAAATGAATTTAAAGAGATACATAAAAAAATGAAATGACCACCAATGTTTATGGACTGGAAGAATTAATATTATAAAATGTCCATATTTCCAAAAATAATTTAGAGACTCAATGCAAACCCTATTAAAATGCCAGTGACATTCTTCACAGAAGCTAGAAAAAATATTAAGTCATATGAAACTACAAAATCTCAAATAGACCAATATTGAACAAAAAAGACAAAGCTGAAACAACACAATTCTTTATTTTAAGACACAGTACATAACCATAGTAACCAGAACAACATGGTACTAGCATGAATATAGACACACTGATCAATAGAATAGAATAGAAGAGATCCAAAAATACATCCATTGCATTTATAGCCAATTGATTCTCAACAAAATGAAAAAGGAATTAAAAATGTAAAGTGGATGAAGGACAGCCTTTTTCAAAAAATAGTACTCGGATAACTGGATATCCATATGCAGAAGTCTGAATTTTGGTTCCTATCTACCAGGGTACAAAAATCAACTAAAAATGGATCAAACATCTTGAAACTACGAAATTACTAGAAAAAAGAAAGCAAATAGTTCAAGATATTGATATAGGCAATTGTTTTTGGTGTGACCCCAAAAGCACAAGAATCAAAAGCAAAAACAGGAAAAAGTAAGATTACACCAGTTAAAAGCTTTTGTATAACAAAGGAAACAATCAAGATAAAGACTCATTTTACAGAATGAGAGAAAATATTTGCCAGGTAGTCATCTGAAAAAGGCTTAATATCCAGTATATATGTATATAAAGAACACAAAAACATAAAAATAAAAATAAGTAGTCCAATTAAAGTGGGCAAATAATCTGAATAGACAATTTTCACAAGAAGAAATACAAATGGCCAACAAATATATGAAAAATTCTCAGTGTCATTAGCTATCAGGGAAATGCAAATCTAAACTACAATGAAACATCATCTCAACTAGTTAGAATGGCTATTATAGATGTATGTATGTTTTATTATTTTGTATAATTCAGTCATTTTTTTCCAGTACTGGGGATCAAATTCTGGACCTTGCCCTTGTGAGGCAGGTGTGGGGCCACTGAGCTAAATTCCTGACCCTTCAGTCATTTTTATAATTTCCTTCCATGATTTCCACTTAGATCTGCTTTGCAGAGTTTGAAGTTTTTTTTAATAACACACATTTAAGTTTATTTAAGGGAATCAATATAGGGAGCATCCTAATTATAATGTATTTTACATATGAAAATAACTCAGGATAATTATTTTTCACACACTTTTAACTACCATATAGGTAATGGTGCCCTAGATGTGTACTGCATATCTGCTATAATGACCCAATGTTCAGACATTCTTTACAAATGAGCTTTTTTTTATATAAACTTAAGTCCAAATTTTATTTAAGGATTTCAAATTACATATTTCAAATTTCTAAAATGGAATAGAACC